GGTTTTAGGGTTTAGGGTTTTAGGGTTTTTAGGGTTTTAGGGGGGGTTCTGAACCCAAAACCCTAGTCGGCTGTTTTGGGAGATTCGGCGGGCCGCAGCGGCGTAGGAGACTGGGTTGAAAAAACAACGCTCTTGCGGTTTAGGTTTCGATGAGGCGGTAGGGAGTCCGGCGTTCCTCGCCAAAGTCTCCGCGGTCAGTTCGGGTTAGGGATTAGGTGTTAGTGTGTAGGGATTAGGGTTTAGTGTGTAGGGTGTAGGGTTTAGGGTCAGGGAAACCCCAAACACCTATTTACGGTTCAGGGCTTTGGGTTTCAGGAGTCTGTCCTTTTCGGGTTCGGGGTCAGAGAATTTTTTCACATGTTCCCACCTCCTTACCAAAAACAAATCCCAAGCCCATGAACCCAAACTGTGTGGGGTGGGTGGTGGGGTGGGTGGGGTGGGTGGGGTGGGTGGGTGGGTGGGTGGGTGGGGTGGGGGGGTGGGTGGGGTGGGTGGGTGGGTGGGTGGGTGGGGTGGGTGGGGTGGGGGGTGGTGGAGGGGTGGGGGGTTGGGGGGTGGGGGGGGGGGGGGTGGGGGGGGTGGGGGGGGGGTGGGGGGTGGGCGGGGGGGGGTGGGGGGTGGTGGGGTGGGGTTGGGGTTGGGGTTGTTGGGGGGTGGGGTTGGGGGGTGGGGTGGGGGTTGGTGGGTGGTGGGTGGAGTGGGTGGGGTGGGTGGGGTGGGAGGTGCGGGTGGAGCCTTGTGTGTGAGTTGGTGCGGGCAGCGCGACTTGGGAAGCTATTTCATTCGTGTCTTGGGCACAGGGTGAAAGCGGGGGGGGTGAGGGTGGGTGGGTGGAGCCTTGCGTGTGCAGTACGATTTGATTGAGCTTGTGTGCAGTGCGACTTTGGGGGTTTAGGGTTGTTGCGACTTGAGTGAAAGCAGCTTCTGTGCATGCCTGTGTGGGGGTTAGGGTTGTTGCGAATTGAGCGAAGTCACAAGATAAAACAGGGGGTGGGGGGTCGGACTCAAAATTGTGCCGGGAAGAGATGGGCGGGGTGGGTGGAGCCTTGTGTGTGCAGTGCGACTTGATTGAGCTTGTGTGCAGTGCGACTTTGGGAGTTTGGGATTGCTGTGACTTGAATGAGTCAGCTTCTGTGCATAGCCTGTGTGAGGTGAAGGGTTGTTGCGGCTGTGCCTGCAGGGATTAATGGTGGAAAGCTCAGGAGAAGCTAGTCTTTGAAAGCTGTTCCATCCATGTCTTGTGCGCAATGTGAAACGGGGTGAGGGGTCTGGGGTCTTATACTTGCAGTCGGGGCGCTTGCAGAGGCCGCATTTTGCTTCCGCTGCTTTCGGCGCTGCGTTTCTTCTTCACGTGTCAGGCTCTTCCAACCAAAGGACGCCCGCGTTCGCTTGCAAGGTCCAGCGGTTTGAAAAGGCCCCACCTTCGAGTCGGACGTAGCAAAAAAGTCGGGTTTGCTGCATTTGCGAAAAGGCACGTCCGAGTTCTTCTTGCGAGCCTTGGCCAAAACCTTGCTGCAGGAAGACACAAAAGCCTTCGGGCTTACAAAGAAGCGGCCTCTGACGGCTGCACGCCGGTTGGGCGTGAAGAAGAAGTCTGGGTCTCAGACACTGTGTCTGCTTCAGTCACAGACATCCTTGCCTTCGAGTTCGGGAGAAGCCCTGGTGAAGCGGGACATCGTGTGCAACTCGCACCGCAGCTGTCCGGTACGTGGGGCTGTCTTGTTTGCGTTGCCCTTTTTCAGTGCGAACTTAGACCTGGACATCAGAGCCCGGCGAAGGAGCGCACGGTGTCCTCTTCTTCCAGCTCCTCGAGCAGCTCCTCCTAGGCGCCCAACGGAACAGGGTGCCTTTGGGCATGTTGCCTTCTGCGCGCTTGGCAGGTCCGAGTTTCTTCGCTTCCAGCCCGTTTACTGCCGTGGCATTTCTGGCGCTCGCGACGCAAAATGAGTGGTGTCGGTGCGCGCTTGCTGCATATCTTGCCACTTTTGCCGCTCTGCGTCTGTTCCAACAGGTGTTGCCAGTAGAGAATAAGTAGAGACTTCCACCCCCCCCCTTCGTTTTGTGTTGTTGCGTCTTGCCTTCATTATGCGAAAAATCAAAGGAGTAGAGAATGAATACAGAATGACAATCTACATAACAGCAGAGTTTTTTCTGGCGTGATCAACAAGCGGGGGGGTTGGGGGGGGGGGGGGGCAGCCCCCCAAACTTGCTTGTTGTTGAGCCATCCCTGACAGCCATGGCCACGAAAATCACAGGAGCGAGAATTATTCTAAATTCCACCCCCCTCGTTTCTGGTTGTTGTTTCTGTTGTTCATTATTCCAGAAGCAGGAAAATCTACATGACAGCAGAGTCTTTTCTGACGTAATAGAAAAGCGGGGGGGTTGGAAAATGCCGGGGGAGTGGGGGGGGGAGGGGTTGGGGGGCGCCCCCCCCATTTTGCAGACACAATGCTCGCAGACGTGCTCGCGCCCGTGATGGACTAGTGCGACCGACGGAGCGCCTGTGGCTCCGGGCGAGTGCCTTTCTTCCGCTCCGTTCAGGGTTTCTAGAGTGTCTTCCGCAGCATGGCTTCGAAGCTCGGCGCAGCCGGCAAGACTGTCGCGACTTCATCGAGCACATGGTGGTGCAGGGACCAACGGAGAAGAACATCAGGGCTGCTTGCGGTTTGGAGGATCGCAAGCAGGAAGACGGCTCGAGTTCAGCCGCAGCACTTGCTAGTCTCGTCCGGTCGGCCACCGCTGTTGATGATGCAAGCGAAGATGCGTCTGCTGATTCTTTGCGTGAGAGAGTGCGAAACGCTATGATTTCTTACGGTCTGAACACACGTGGCACTCCTGAGCCGCCATCGATGTTCGCCAGCAAAATGGGAAAGCGTCTTTCTGCGGATCGCTTGTACAAAACATGGCAACCCGTGAATTTTTGTGGTGCAACGGTTGATTGACTGCTCTGGCTGAATGCTATGTGTAGCAAAGGGACTGCAGGTCTAATTGCTCTGCAGCCATTTTCACAGCCCGGTACGGAGTTAGTTGCAGGCCCGCCAAACTCAACAGTGACCTGTGAGGGTAGCGGTCGGTCGGCGCATGAGCGAAAAAAACTACGTACGCCCGAACACCCCAGATGCCTGGACGCCCTAAAGCCCCAAACCCCTAAGCGCCTAAGCGCCTAAACCCCTAAACCTTAAACCCCAAAACCCTACAACCCTAACCCCGCAAACCCCTAAAGCCCTAAACCGCTCAAACCCCCAAAGCAAAAACCCTAAACCCTAAGCCCTAAAACCCTACAGCCGAAAACCCTTAAGACATCCCAATACCCTAAGCCCTGAACTCCCTTAAGGAGGGCACCTTGGCCGCTCACCCCCGTGGCGAGCCGTGCAACTTCGCCCTGGAGAGATTGCACCTCGGCTCGGTTATAGTTTTTGTCCCCGCCCTCGGTGTGGGGTTGTCAGATTTCAAACTCAGCTCGTCTCCTCGTCCGGAACTCTTCTCCTCGCCCGGTCTACTCCTCGCATCCCTGGAGTGCCCCCAAAGTGTCCCTGAATTGCCCAACTGTAGGTCCTTGCAGTGCCCAACCCCGAGTCTCCCTGGAGTGCCCAACCGGTGTCCCCGAGTGCCCAGCCCCAGAGTGTCCCTAGAGTACCCAACCCCACGGAGTGCCCAGCCCAGAGTCCAAAGTCAGAGTCTTCCTGGAGTGCCCAACCCCAGACTGTCCCCGGAGTGCCCAGCCTCAGAGTTTTCTGGAGTGCCCAACCCCAGAGTCTCGTGCCCAACCCCAGAGTGTCGCCAGAGTGCCAGTTCCAGAGTTTCCCTGGAGTGCCCAACCCCAGAGTATCTCTACCAAGAGAGGGTGGGGATGTTCGAAACGTTCGAAGTAAAATAATTTGAGGTGTGGTGTTTAGGGTTTAGGGTTTAATGAGATTATTGTTTTGCACATACTCCTACCAACGTAGTTCTGACTTGGAGTTTAGGGTTTAGGCTTCAGGGTCTAGGGCCGATGGTTAAGGGTTTAGAGTTTAGGGTTAGCGATTGACTTTTTCAGGGTCCGTAGTTCGAGGGCCTCACGCTCCCTCTTGGATTCAGAGCTTGAGGGTTTAGGACTTTTAGTGTTTTCGTAGGGTTAGTGTGGGTTGAGGGTTTTGGGGGTTTAGGGGTTTTAGGGTTTGGGGCCTGAGGGGTTGGGGGCTTCTGGGGTCGTATTAGTCTGTACGGGGTCAGGGGTGTAAGGCTTAAGGTTTATGGGTTTAGGCAGAAGATGGGGCACCCATGCCTTTTTCTTAGCTACCTAGCCTGCTTACAATAGAAGTCTTAGTGTTGTTGCATGGCCCCTTAACATGGGCCCTTAATGGGGGAGCCTAAACCCTAAACCCTAAACCCTAAACCCTAAACCCTAAACCCTAAACCCTAAACCCTAAACCCTAAACCCTAAACCCTAAACCCTAAACCCTAAACCCTAAACCCACTAGTTAGGTACCTCTGTAGCTTGACCTGTACAGTAGTCTCCTACTTTGGCGCTGCAGCATTGGGAGCTCACAGTATCAGACAGAAGCCCATAGAGGTAAAAGATATGCGACCGCCATGCACTCTTTTTCTTATTCTGCTTCTTGCTAGCGGAGCGGGTGAGCCTATGGTTGGCCCCGCTTGGGAACGCTTCCAGGGGCGCACCAAACGGCTAGCAGCCAGACGCGGGGCTGTGATGGTTCTACAGTTTCGCTTTTGGCTGTCAGCTCACTGGGAGACAATGTGGCCTGGGAGATCTTGTACACAGGCCTTTAGGTGCGGACAGCATACAAGATCTACCTGCCCTTCTCCTGGCTTTACCACGTGCACTACGAGCACCACGAGCCCAATACTGCAGTACAGTGGTGTATGGGATCCGATTTTCAGCAACAGTTGCCTGAATCCATCCTGTGGTAGCAGCGGATGGGATTGTTTACAAGACAACTGCTACAGCCAAGATGTTTTGGACGCGTGTTTTCCATCGACAGTGGTTACAAGGGCCTACAATGGTGTTTTTTCAGAGTCGCCACAGTTGGATGGGTCTACACCAACGTGCCTACATCACGCAGTTTCTGCTACCGCCCATTTTGGCTCCGACGTTGGACGTGCAACTGGACTGGAGCGAGCAAACGCGAAAACCGGACTGGGGCGAGCGAACGCGACAACCGGACTCGAGCGCGACGTACGACAGTCGGGGACTACCTCAACCCTTGTGTGCCTGCCAGTGTCTGGAGCGGCGTGGGAAAGCATGGTTCATGGGCTTCGGCTGATGAACCATGCCGGTACCTCTGCCTGGAGACTGGTATGGAGCCTAGGCCCGCTTGGCCTGCTTGTGTTGCTGGTGCTGATGCTCCCAGTGTGTGCCGCTGACACTGGGAGTGACGGGCCAGCCCTGCAGCATGCACGCACACACCCAGCGCACACCCTAAGGTTCCACCCTAATCCCCATACTTTAGTGGGTGTAGCTACCTTAAGTGCCATTGCGCTGGCTTTGGGGGCTCTGTGCCACATGATGCCCGCAGCCAGCGTGCCCAGGATGCCTCCAGTGTGGGACCCCAGCAACCAGGCCCAGTACCCCTTCAGGAGGTGGTCGCATGATGTGCTGGTTTGGTCCGTGGCCACAGAGGGGGATCCCGCACGCAAGGCAGCGCTTTTGTGCATGAGTCTCCGAGGCTCAGCCCAGGAGCTGGTTCGGACGCTGCCGCCTGCTGTGTTAGTGCAGGGAGGACGAGTGAACGGGGCAGCAGTGGACCCATTGTCCTTCATCATGCACCAGTTAGCTGAAAGGTTCTCTGCCTTGGGAGAGGAAGTTCGCCTGTCAGCAGTGACTGAGCTGCTCACCTTTGACAGGCAAGGCGCGGAATCAGTGGACAACATCATTAACCGATTTGATGTTGTCAGGCAGCGGGCTCATGATCAGGGACAACTTGTGATGAGCATTACGGGTTTAACCTGGTTATTGCTTAGAGCCATAGGGGTTAGTGACCACCAGCTGCTTACACTCCTGGCCCCTTTCAATGGTGTTTTCCCGCAGACCGATGCAGAACTGGCCCAGCTCAAGACTCAGCTTCGCCGGATGGGACACATTCTGGAACATGCCCCAGGAAACATAGCAGCATCCTTGAGGCCTCAGCGCAACGCAACCCGCCAGAACTTTTGGGCGCAGGCTGAGGTGGAGGCCACATCCTCTGTGTGGCATGCAGCTGAGGGCGAGGCTTCAAATGTGTGGGATGCCCACCCCGACCCCGGGCAGCGGCTGGGGCACCGAGCAACCAAGCGCCACAGCTTGGATGGCGCAGGAGTTCGAAGTGAGTGACGGTGGCACTGACTCCGACACTGCTAGCTCTGATGGTGGCACCGAGCTGCCTCCTTGCACTCCTGAAGGAAGCTATGACGACCCTGCCATTGGAGAGCATCTCTTTTGGGCCTACCAAAAGGCCAAAAGCCAGTGGCGACGTTGGTCCCAGAAGCCTACGCGCACCGTGAGGCGCCATGTGCGCCGGTTCATCCGACATAAGGGCTTAGGTAAGGGTTATGGGTCTAAGTCTAAGGGTAAGGGTAAAAGCAGTCCTAATCCCTCTGCCTTCCTTGCCTCTCTTTCCGACGATGAGGTGCAGCAGGTCTTCAAGGTTGCAGGCAAAGGTAAGGGCAAAGGCGGCAAAAGGTCCACAGGCAAAGGCAAAGGCCGCCGCACAAACCCCAAAGGCAAAGATGGTATGACCATGAGGTGTTTTCGTTGTGGCTCAGAAACCCATCTCAGCAAGGATTGCCATCTGCCCCGAGACCCTAACCACAGCCAGACGTCCTCTGCTGCTCCTTCTTTCCATGTCAACACCATCCCTGAAGGTGGCCCGCTCAGCATGGTTTTCATGGCTTCTCCATCGGACGACTCGTGGTCTATGCCGTCCGAAGTCCCTCAACCACAGCCAGATCCTTGGGCTGAGTACCTTCGAGGTATGGGAGCGTTCAGTAGGCAGGCCCAGCCTTCAGCTGCTGACCCTCCATCCGGGGTTGATAGGGGTGAAGGGTCTAGTTCTAGTGGTTTAGGTGCAGGGGTAAATGTCGGTGCTGGGCCTGCTGACGCACAGCCTCCCATGCCTGGACCACCTTTACCACTGCCACTGTTCACAGGGCCTGCAAGCACCGCCCAGCCTGCCACCGTGGGCTATGATGTCTGAGTTCAGCTTTGTGCAGCAACCTTTGGCTTTTGTCAATCCAGAGCAGGAGCCCATGATCCCTGTGCGAGATGGGCTACCCTCCGTGCAAAGCACCCTTGAGCCAATCAATGCCCAGCTTGTGAGTAGCCTGCACTCTGCCACTGCCGCAACCACCTTGCGTTGGCTGAACAAGCCGCCTGACCAGACCGCGCCGACCACTGAGGTGACATCCCAACTCCATGAAGTGCACCACGCATCCATTGAAGCCTTTGCCCATGCCCAGCGTACCATGCAAGAGCGCAGGACACAAGCCAAGCGTACTCAAAAGGCCCTCCACCTTCCGAGGGCCGATGATCTGCAGGCTTACGATGAGCAGGATACAATGTGCTCGCTATGCCAGGAAGAGTTCGGAGCAGGTGAGTCTGTGGTTCGCCTTGTGTGCCGGCACTTGTTCCCACTGTTGGACCTCCTACCTGGTCCATGAGGAGGCCAGGATGCAGTGCCCCAACTGCCGTGGCAGCACTCGCATCATTGCTCGCTTCAACTATGTGAGCCACTCTGTGAGTGGCACTCCTCAACCGCCAGCTTCCCCTGGAGGCTCAAGCAACGCCAGTCGAGGAGGCCAGGGCGCTCAAGAGTATCCGCTCACACCGCCTGGCCGAGCCCCAAACCCGGACGTGCAAACTCCCTCTCCATTTCGGGATGCCCCAGGTGCCACAGGTCCAGAGGCCGAGGTCTTTGAGGATGCACAGCCCACCTATCCATGGTGGCCCGCGGTTCAAGGGGAAGCAGCCAGCACAGCCGTGTACCACCAGTCCACTGTGCTCCCTGGCCACAATGCTCTGCTGATTGACCCTGGTGCTCACACAAACTTGGTGGGTCTGCGATGGGTTCAGCAGATGCAAGCAAAGGCCCAACAAGCTGGAAGGGTTCCAAGCCAAAGCCGTCTGCAGGAGCCCCTTACAGTGCAGGGTGTTGGCCAAGGCACTCAAAGGTGCACATGGAGCATCTCAATGCCAATATGCACCCCATGTATAGTAGACGGCCAGGAAACCATTGCACAGCATGCTTATGAAAGCCCCATCGTGGATGGTTCGGGAGCTGACCTCCCAGCTTTGTTGGGGCTCAAATCTTTGCGGGCAAAATCGGCCATCCTTGTCCTTTCTGACCGAGACGAGGATCTGCGCATGATCCTGCCAGGACCGGGAGGGGTAGACATTGAGGCAACCGGCGCCGTTGAGTACCCCTTAACAGTGGCGCCTTCAGGACACCTCTTGCTCATATGTGATGCATTTTCTGGCCACCGCAGGATCAACCTGCACACGCATGAGCTGCAGTTCCCAGTGGTGCCAGATGCCACTGAGTCCCCTGCAAAATTCACAGCACAAGAGGATTTTCACCATGGCCTCAGCGCCTCGAACGTGACACCCCCAGTGTCACATGGGATTGGCCCTGACCCCAGCAGCGCGCCCGCAGCTTCAAGTCAGTCTGAGCCTAGCCAAGGCCCTCGTGTGCACCGCCGCCGCGTGCCATCGGAGCACGCTTCGCGCAGCCACTCTCCTGAGTAGTGGGCTGGACACAAGCGCAGGTGCGAGCTGCCGAGATGTTAGCCGAACAACTGATTCGAGACAAATGCTTCACTTATGCCGCGTGTGAGCGACTAGTGCAAGTCTTGCCTGTGCAACACATAGGCGAGCTTCGCCAGGTGCATACAACATCAGCTGCTCCTGCCCTGGAGCCTGTTCCAGCAGGCGCTCTTGTCCTGGGACTCTTTGCACATGGCCCAATGTGTGGAGTAACTCGGGGCACCGAGCAGTGTGTTGCAGCCACAAAGTACTTCAATTTGTTCCTAAAAGATAAGTTGCCGCCCGGGGAGCTGCACCAATGGTCCTCTTTAAGCATAAGCCGCAATGTGCCTTCTAAACCCCATATGGATGTTCACAACGTGGCTACGTCGGACAACTTGAGTGTGAGCATGGGTCAATTCCAAGGAGGCGAGTTGTGGTTAGAAGTTCCTGTCAATGAGGTTCGATACCGCAAGGTTGAGTGGCGAGTCAAGGGCAATGGTGTCCAGGTGCCAGGCAGGCTGCTCAACACAAAGCACCGCCTGGTTGTTTTCAACCCTAAGACCACACATGCAACCCAACCATGGCAGGGCTTTCGCGTATCCATAACCGCATACTTGTGCAGAGCTGTGTTTAATGTGCCGCAATCCCTAATTCAGCAGCTCACTGCCCTCCATTTCCCACTCAACGCACCTCAGCTTAAGATGCTAAAAGGCAAGCCGGCCGAGGTTTTGGCAGCAGTGGGCCATGAGCCCACACGTGATCAGGGTGTTCCGGAGCCAGCTAAAAGCTCCGCCAAAAGCTTCCCCGGCAATGCGCCTCGGTCTTCTGTGGCCATCGTGCTCGAGGACCACCCGGCAGTGTCCCCTCTCCTACAACAGCGTGGCCTTCAAGTGGAGCACCTGCAGCCTTCCCACGTCAATAGCACGGCCACTGCTACGTTGTCCAGGCGCCTCAAAGAAGGCGCCGTCTCTTTTGTGTGGTTTGACCTGCCCATTCCAGGGCGTCAGGTTGCCAAAGCCAAACTTAGTGCCCACGTCACACAACTTTGCGTCTGGCTGCAACTGTGCGCCGAGCAAGGTATCCCGGGTGCTGTGTTTGGCGCTTTTGGCAGCCAGTGGCAGCATGCTTGTTTGCAGGATCTTATCCAGACCCGGGTTTTAGTTAAGTCTTATCATAGGCTATGTCACTTTGGGTTGAAAATAGATCCTGCCCAGGTTGCTCCCAGTCGCACCTGTTTCGTCATGGCCTCTAATGTTCATGCGCAGGGCCACGCGTGCCGCTGCCCGGAGTCCCAAAATGGACATGTGTTGGACTGGGTTGCGCCCAAGCTGCCTCACCAACGTGGCGTGCGTGCGCAGATGCATGCTCGTATGGCACAGCACGCGGTCCAGCAGCTCATTGGCGCGGCCCAGCTAGCGCCACAAGCACCACAACGAAGCACACCCGACGACAATCTCTACCAGTCCTGCGTGCAAATTGGCCAGTCTGTGCCCGCCACGGCGAGTGACTCCTCTGCGTCATCCCTCGGTTCTCTCCCTCCCCGATCTGGGACAAACGAGGCCGGGCACGATAATGTTGCAGCCGCCAATTTTGCAGACACTGCTTCCAATGTGGAGTTGAGCGCCCCCGCAGGCTGCCCCTCCCAGTCCTTCTCCAACTCGCCCGATGCAAGCCATGCTCCGGAAACCCATGTGCAGCCTGAACCATGTTACCCCACAGAGGCCCGTCTTCGCCAGAAAGAGCGCAAAGCTCAGGGCCATGTGGCACAGCCGAGGGCCAAGTGGGTTGAGGACCATCACGATGATTGCGGGACCTTTCTTGAGTCCCTGGCAAGTTGGCTACAGACCAACACCTGTGATCCACAGCACACGGCCCTGTGGGCAGCCTGTGTGGATCTGCCAGTCCAATGGTTCCGTTCCTCTGCAAGCGCCGTTGTAGTTCCTAGACTGCCAGGAGACTGCTTTCTTGCAAGCTCTATTGCCGCAGCACGTGTTGCGCACCAGCAGTGGGGCCCAGGAAGGGGAGACATCCTGTCCTTGCAGGGCGGCAGTGACCTCACCGCGGCCATGTGGGCGCATCGTGTGAGTCAAGGCTCGCAGTGCCCGAGCCTATGGACTCTTTTGGACCTGCGAGATCCTGCGTGCGCCACCGATATCTTAGGCTACATAGAACGGTTTAAGCCACAGGTTGTTGTTCTTGCGCCGAACGCCCCACAGCATTTAGATCCTTCCACTGTGACATTCGGCCGCATCTGCGGACACATTGCCCAGCATCAAGTTCAGTCAAGCCGCCACTTTCTATGTGAGCAGCCGGCGAGCTCCTTTCTGTCTCAGCTGACTCCGTGGCCCAGTGTTCTCGCAGATCGAGCTCTGCAGTGGCTATCCATTCCGGGTGGCCCAGGCAAGCCTGACATAGAGCTTTGGTCATCCAGCGCTTGGCTGCTACAACCCTGTGTTCAACAACCGCTGCCGCCTCAAAGAGGCAACCTCTGGAGCCAGGAACTTGCGCACTTGGTGCAAGATGGATGCACGCTGCTGCTGGCATCCCGCCACCTGCAGCAAGGGCCATGTGTGGCCTTTCCATCTGTAGCATCCGGTCCCAGCGCCTCTGGCAGAGAGAACTCCGAGGATGTCCCTCGGTCCGAGGCTGAACCCTGGCGCAATTGTCCAGGCTGCAGGGGCCGTCAAGCTAGACACGACCCGAGACACACTCGAGTGGCAGGCCAGTGTCGTTACCCAAACGACGAGTCCTTGCATTGGGACTGCGAGGGGTGTAAGTACCATCGGCCCCGTACGCATCCATCCCACAGCAATGGTCCCGATTGCAGGTGCGGGATTATTGAAGCTCGTGCTGGAGGACCGCGCCGGGGACGGCATCCAAGACCACCTGCTCCCAAAGCCTCTGCGTCCACAACGCAAGACCTTCAGGCCCAGCTGCCAGGTGGAGGCGACCTAGGTGCTGCGGAAGAGGAAGCCGCTGCAGCTGCAACACCCAACCCCAGCACTCCGGATATAGAGCCTGAAGAGCTGGCGCGCATGGCAGAACTGCCTGTTCCAGACCTCCAGGAACCAGCCTCTGCCGCCGGAGCTGTCCGTGAGCGACCTCCCGGTGAGCGCGCTGCTCGCGAAGAACGTCGCCCCAAAGATGCCGCCGCTGGCACGGAGTCTCCATCGGACTGGGCCCGGTTTGATGTGTCTCGCTCCCTCCGAGTCTTAAGGACTGGCGCCGACAATGCCTGCAAGCTTGAGCTTCGCAAGCTACACCTCCGTCTGTGGCATGCCGGACGCCAGTCCATGACACAAGTCTTGCGGGCAGTCGGCGTTAAGCAAAGGATTCTGGACATGATACCCGAAATCATCCAGACGTGTGCTGAATGCCGCAAGTGGCAATGCCCAGCTCCTGCCACTCAGCATGCTCTGTCCGCCAGCTTGGCATTCAATCAGCATGTTGAGTTCGATCTCTTGTTCTACAGGCAACATATAGTCTGCCACGCCATCTGCCGTGCTACCCGCTGGCATGCCGCCACGGCTGTGGCCAGCAAAGACGGAGAGGTGCTACAAGAGGCCCTGTCTACAATGTGGATCACCATCCACGGCCCAATGGCCAACTTAATCTCCGATGGCGAAGGAGGCCTTTGGCGCAGCGATGTAGCTAACAGGCTAAAGAGGCAAGGTATCAAAATGCAGTTGCGTGCCCCTCAACAACACGCGCGCTACATTGAGCGTCGTGGAGCAGTGCTACGTGCCACATTGCATGTCATGCATGAGCAGCTTGAACGAGAGTCTGTGCAAAGCAGCTTCCCTATAGTGCTGGCCGAGGCAGTGTTCGCTGGCAACTCCCTCACACATGTCGGGGGTTCCACGCCCTACCAAGCTGTGTACGGCCGCCAACCGGCTATGCTCCCACCTCTTGAAGCACCAGACCTTCCAAATAGCGAGGAAATCTCCGAGCAAGGGGATTACCAACGTGAACGCGTCAGGCGCGCTGCACTGGAAGCTATGATGCAAGCCACAAGTATGGCGCGCCTGAGTCGTGCAACCCGCACTCGCACCCAGCCAGATTCCACACGCACTTTCCAGGCTGGAGAGCTGGTAGATATCTATAGGCCCCAAAGTAGAAAGGATGCCTCGGGTTGGTTTGGGCCCTACAGGATTTCCCAGTCCCTCCCAGGACAGGTTGTAGTGCAAATCCAAGGCGTTGACCGCACCTACCGTGCCCAAGATGTGCGTCATGCGCTCCTTGTCCTTTTCGCTGAGCACCAGCCAAGCGGCTGGAGCGACTGTTTGGAGCTCGTGCTCATGGAATTGCATAGGCTGAAGCCCGGCCACACAGCACTGTTCGGGTTTGCTTCCTCGTCCTCTGGCAATTGGGAGCTCACACCCGTGTCCAAAGCCAGGCCTCAGGTTCTCCATGCCCTAGAGCACCTTCTTCAGTCTTGCTGGCGTCTCGGCGATGCGTGTGCCGTACGCCTTGCGCGCGGAGTGCGACATCTCAGCAATGTGCCTCAAGCCGCCCACTCCACACTGCTTTGGTGGCACGTCCACCCTGATAAGGACATCCAGTTCTGCACATTGGATAGTACTAAGGTAGACCTACTAGGGGTGATAGGACCAAGTTATCCTTCAGCCTTAGTGGTTCAAGCTATCCAAACTGCAGATCAGGACGTCTCCCTTGCAGAAGCCTGCGACGGCACCGCTGAAGTCAACCATGAAACCAGCGATGGCCACTGCCTTCCGGACAGTGATGGGGAGCGCGTCAGTGTGCATACACCTCATGGTCCCCTGTCAGCCATTGCTGAAGAACCTGAAGCAGAAGAGGCTGCCGAAACATACCTAGCCCAGGTTGTGGCCGAACAGGCTGAGGTCGTCCCCGCTCTGAGGGAGATCTTCCACATAAGTGCCTTTGAGACCCTTGAGCCCGTGTCTGCAACTGACCTGATGAGTCCACCCATCTGCTACGTCGAGCCTACCCCCGTCTTGTCCGAGCCAGTTGACCACTACTGCCATTACCGCCAGTCTGGCCTCGATCCCTCATCCTATGGCTCGCTCCAAGAGCAAGATGAGCAAGGGAACGGGTATGTAGAGGTTTGGTTCACTAGGGACTTTGCTAAGGTTATAGGGGATACCGATAGGCTCGAAGCAGACGAAACATACGCCTTGCGTGTGTATGCTGCTGGGTTCAGAAACGCTGTCATCCAGCGTGAAAGCGATCTCCTCACCTCTTCGGAAATTCGCCAGAATCAGGCAGCGGTGGATGCAGCCACTCTTGAGGAGCTGCGGATCTGGATGAAGTATGGATGCTTTGAGCGTGCACCACGAGCCTCATCCCGCAACGTCATGGATTCCAAGTTCGTCACCAAGTGGAAGAAGACAAAGGACTCCTGCGGAACAGAGGTTCGCATCATCCGGCAGCGCCTGGCTCTCCGAGGTTTCAAGGACCTGCAAGCAGCCGAGCTTGAGGCGCACGCAGCCACAGGCAGCAGGTTGTCCCAGCGTTTGCTTTGCAGTGAGGCAGCCTGCAGGCCCCACTGGCGCTTTGTGGCACTGGACATCAGCAAGGCGTTCCTTCAAGGCCTCACCTATAAAGAGATCGCCTCTCGAACTGGCGAGGAAGAGCGCGATGTCTGCTTCACCCTTCCCCCTTCTGCTGTGCCTTTCCTCAGGCAACTCGAAGGTTTCGAAAACTTCGATGAAAGGCAGGAGGTTCTGCGTTGTGTCAAGCCAGGCACAGGGTGTAAAGATGCTCCCAGGGCATTTTCTATGAAGCTTGCAGAATACACTCGCAGTGAGAAAATTTGACGCTGAACTTGAGGTGAAGCATAGGAATGGCGAGCTGGTCCTGATCCTGGTTAAGCACGTTGACGACTTGAAAGTCGCAGGCGAACCCCAGGAAGTAGAGGCCCTGATCCGTCACCTGGAGGCAGGCTTTGGAAAGCTGACCTTCAACGAGGCTGAGTTCACCAACTGCGGCCTACACCACCGTCGCTTGCCGGACGGCACTGTCAGCATGGACCAAGACGAATACATCTTGGCAATGCGGCCCATCCGCCATGCTGAGCTCACTGGCCGCCCCAGCACAGAGCCGTGCAGCGCAGAAGTTCATCAGCTGTACCAAAGCTTGCTTGGTGCTGTTGCCTACGCCCTTTTCTCACAGGCCTGGGCCGCTGTGTTCGTTATTGCCCTTCAAAGGCGCACTTCCAACCCTCTTAACATCCACGTGCGCCGCCTCAACCTGCTCCTTGCAGCCATGCAGCGCAAACTACATAAGGTTGTGTTTCCTGCAATGACATGCCAACGCCGCCTCGTGGCCTTTTCAGACGCATCCTTTGACAAAGAAGGAGACAGCAAGGGCTACGGCATGCGAGGCTCTGTGTTCCTCCGGTGGGGCGTCAATGCCCAAGGCAAGGAGGTATGCCACCTGCTTGAGGCTCAGTCTCAGAGTCTTAAACTTGTCACTCGGAGCACTTTCTCATCCGAGACCCTGGCCGCAGTGGGCACAGTCGACCAACTGGTCCCGATGCTCTTTGCCTTTCAGGAGGTCCTGAAGGGACCCCTTTCCAGTCAGCAAGCCAGGACACTCCGTGAGAAAGGCGGCTTCGAAATGGCATCCGAGCTCATCATCGATGCCATGAACTTGTTTTGGGCCCTGTCCGCAACCAGCCCTCGAATGCCAGCAGAACGCACGCTGTTCGTGCACATTAACTGGCTGCGCGACTTGCTTCAGTCAGATATGCCACGTGTCCTGAAATGGATGGACACACGCGGCATGCTGGCAGATGGCATGACTAAGGGGAAGATAGATAGGGGTCCATTGGTCGATGCAATGTCTGGCAAACACACTCTGCATCCAGACACTAAGATATATAGGCCCCTAAAACCTCAACCTTAAGCAGCCTGCAACGTCCGAGCACAAACACACACAAACGAGCACACCCGACTAGTTAGGTACCTCTGTAGCTTGACCTGTACAGTAGTCTCCTACTTTGGCGCTGCAGCATTGGGAGCTCACAGTATCAGACAGAAGCCCATAGAGGTAAAAGATATGCGACCGCCATGCACTCTTTTTCTTATTCTGCTTCTAACCCTAAACCCTAAACCCTAAACCCTAAACCCTAAAACCCTAAACCCGAAGCCCCTTAAGATGCCCGGCAGGCACTTTGGGACTTGGGACCTCTCAACCCTAAACCCCAACCCCAAACCCCAACCCCTAAACCCTAAACCCTAAACCCGAAACCCTAAACACTCTCTATCCTATGTATATTTAATGGCTAATGGCCTCCGGTTTTTCCACTAAAAATTCCCGGTTTTCCACCAAAAATTCCCGGTTTTCCACTAAAAATTCCCGGTTTTCCACTAAAAACTCCCGGTTTTCCACTAAAAATTCCAGGTTTTCCACAAATACCGGTTTTCCACCAAAAACTCCCGGTTTTCCACGAAAAACTCCCGGTTTTTCCACTAAAACTTCCCGGTTTTTCCACCAAAAACTCCCGGTTTTTCCACTAAAAATTCCCGGTTTTCCATTAAACATTCCCGGTTTTCCACTAAAAATTACCGGTTTTCCACCAAAAATTCCCGGTTTTCCACTAAAATTCCCGGTTTTCCACTAAAAATTCACAGTTTTCCACTAAAAATTCCCGGTTTTCCACAATCCCGGCTTTCCACCACAAACTCCCGGTTTTCCACTCTAAATTTCCCGGTTTTTCCACTAAAACTTGCCGGTTTTTCCACCAAAAACTCCCGGTTTTTCCACTAAAAATTCCCGGTTTTTCCACCAAAATTTCCCGGTTTTCCACCAAAAACTCAAGGTTTTTCCACTAAAACTTGCCGGTTTTTCCACCAAAAATTCACGGTTTTTCCACTAAAAATTCCAGGTTTTTCCACTAAGAACACCGGTTTTCCACAAAAAACTCCCGGTTTTCCACTAAAAATTACCGGTTTTTCCACTAAAAATTCCCGGTTTTTCCACTAAAAATTACCGGTTTTCCACCGAAATTTCCCGGTTTTCCACCAAAATTTGCCGGTTGCTCGGGGGGCCTACTCTGGGCTGGCTTTAGGGTTTAGGGCCTACTCTGGGCAGGCTTTAGGGTTTAGGGCCTACTCGGTACTGGCTTTAGGGTTTAGGGCCTACTCTGGGCTGGCTTAGGGTTTAGGGCCTAGTCTGGGCTGGCTTCTGGGCTGGCTTTAGGGTTTAGGGCCTACTCTGGGCTGGCTTTAGGGTTTAGGGCCTACGCGGGGCTGGTTTTATTGAGGTTAGGCCCTGCTCTGGGCTGCCTTTTGGGTTTAGGGCACCCCCCCCCCCCCCCCCCCCCCCCCCCCCCGAGGGGGTACTAAAATCCCCATTAAGGACTGCTAGCAAAGGGGGGGCAACATCCTGTTTGCATCCCAGGGTGGCCCTTAAAAAACCTCTGAAGAAAACACCTGAGTAGAGTTTTGGGTTTAGGGTTTAGGGTTCAGCATCTCAAGTCCAAGCATTTCACTAGTAGAGCTCCTTACTCCGGTATCGAATATCGACCCACCCACCCAGTGGATCCCATAACATTATGAAAATATTTTACTTTATGTTTTAATCTTAAATTTTTGGTTCAGTCGGCTGCCGCCCAGGGTTGGCGGCATTCTTCGTTATAAGGGAAGTATAAGTTAGGATGTTCCCCCCCTAGACTAACAGTTCTGAGTAGGGAGTAAAGTAGGGGGTACGAGAATGAACATCCCAACGATACCCCACCCCCCCACTTGAAGCCCGAAGCCCTATCTTTGGGATTGAAGTTCTAGGTTTGGGGGTCTAAAGATCCTCCAGCTTGGGAGTTGGAAAGATCCTCAACCCAACCCTCAAGCCCTAAAGGGTTTAGGGTTCAGGGTTTAGGGTTTAGGGTTTAGGGTTTAGGGTTTCGGGCGTAAGCCCCCAAACCTTAAACTCCAAATCCTCCAACCCAGGAAATACGAGTGAACAGCTTCATGGAAATACACGGCCCTAAACCAAAGTGCACAATGTTCGATAACGTTCATCCCAATTCTTAATTGGTCTGTACTCGACAGCCCTCAAAGAATCCTTCAAACCCTAAACCCGAGACCCTAAACCCTAAACCCTTTGAACATTTTCAGGGTCCAAACCCTGAGATTTTGCTGCTTAATCAGGATGCCTGGCACACCATGTGAGCCGGGCGCTGTGGGAAGCTTAGATCCTGCTGAGGGACGGTTTCAGGTGGGTTTTCAGGGCGTTAAAGCTTAGTGTTCAGGGAGTAGTGTTTCAGGGTTGGTTTTAGTGCTGTTGAACTTACAAGGGTAGCATCGTCTCTCTCGTTCTTTTTTTTTTGCTTGTGTTCTTGATCTTATTTTGTTTTAGGAGGTATTCTTCCTTATACGGTTAGTATAAGTTGGGATGTTCCCCCTTATACTAACAGTCCCCAATATTAGGGGGTACTATAATCCTTATGAAGGACTGTTGGTGTTATGGGAGCATCTTCACGGTGACCCTAAACCCTGAACCCTAAACCCTCAACCCTCAACCCTCAACCCTCAACCCTCAACCCTCAACCCTCAACCCTCAACCCTAAACCCTGAACCTAGAACCTAAACCCTAAACCCTAAACCCTCAACCCTAAACCCTAAACTCAAAACGCGCCTCTAAGATGCCCCCTGCTAGGGATTTCGGGGTTTACGGGGGTTTGGGGTTTAGGGTTTAGGGTTTCGGGTTTAGGGTTTAGGGTCCGAGCTTTGGAGCTTTGGAGGTTTGAGGGTTTGGGGTTTGGAGGTTTCAGGGTTTAGGGTTAGGGGTTTGGAGAGGTTTGGAGGTTTGGGGTTTCATGTTAGGGGTTTGGAGGTTTTAGGGTTTAGGGTTATGGGTTTGGAGATTTTAGGGTTTGGAGGGCTTCAGGTTTTTTTTATGGCTTTTGGGGGTTTGGGGGCCCAACTGTGCCGGTTCAGGGTCTACGGGCTTTTGAGGCTTTAGTCTTAATTATGGAGCTGTATTGAAATGGAGAAGGAATCTGCGGCCCCCTACCTGCCTAACCCCCAGACCCCAAACCCTAAACCCGAAACCCTAAACCCTAAACCCTAAACCCTAAACCCTAAACCCTAAACCCTAAACCCTAAACCCTAAACCCCAAACCCTAAACCCTAAACCCGAAACCCTAAACCCCAAACACAAGCGACTGCTAGAGGAGTGGTCCATCCTCCAACAGCTTTGGCCGTGTGTCTGCAAGCCTCGGAGGAATCAGGATTCAGGTTTTGTCGCTAAAGTGTTAGGGCTTATAGGGTTCAGGGTTTAGGGTTTAGGGTTTAGGGTTTAGGGGTTTAGGGTTTAGGGTTTGGGGTCTAGGGTTACTCGGTGGATCCGGGTTTTAGGGTTTAGGGTTTAGGGTTTTGGGGTTCTTGGCTTGGGGGTTTGGAGAACCAGGATCTCAGGTTCAGGATTCAAAGTATTAGGGTTCAGGCTTTAGGCTCTTTCAGGCTTCAGGGTCTAAAGAAATCCGTGTTTTTTGCCTGTGAGGGTTTAGGGTTGAGGGTTTAGGGTGTAGGGTTAGGGTTTCGGGGTTGAGTTTTTAGGGGTCTGGCGGTGTCGGGTTTTGGGCGCCACAGGGTTTGAAGTGTAGGGGGTTGAGGCTAGGAAGCTCCAAACCCTGGACCCTTAAAAGCTTTGCCTAGAGCCCCAAACCCGAGACCTAAACCCCAAACCCGAAAGCCCTGAAAAGCCTATGGCCCTAAGCTGTAAAGCCCCATTCCCCGAACCCTGAACCCTGAACCCTGAACCCTGAACCCTGAACCCTGAACCCTGAACCCTAAACCCTAAACTCTACACCCCAAACCCCAAACCCCAAACCCCAAACCCCAAAACCCTAAACCCTAAACCCTAAACCCTAAACCCTAAACCCTAAACCCTAAACCCTAAACCCTAAACCCTAAACCCTAAACCCTAAACCCTAAACCCTAAAAACCCTAAACCCTAAACCCTAAACCCTAAACCCTAAACCCTAAACCCTAAACCCTACACCCTAAACCCTAAACCATAAACCCTAAACCCTTGAAAACCCAAGAGCCGAGGCAGGCCCGTGGCCGCTCGACGCAACTCCTCGCAGCGTTCCGGGTGCAAAACCGGGGCATCCTTGCCGCGAATATTGAGGGTGTAGGGTTTAGGGTTCAGGGTTTAGGGTTTAGGGTTTAGGGTTTAGGGATAGGGTTTAGGGTTTAGGGTTTAGGGTTTAGGGTTTAGGGTTTAGGGTTTAGGGTTTAGGGTTTAGGGTTTAGGGTTTAGGGTTTAGGGTTTAGGGTTTAGGGTTTAGGGTTTAGGGCGTTTGCCCGAAACCCTAAATCCTTAACCCAATGCCCCGAAAGCCTAAACCTCAAACGCTAAACCGCCCTAAATCCTGAAGGTTCAGTGTGGCTGGTTTGGGGTCCTTAGGACTCCATCGCCTGCTTCCCATAGCCACTTCTGAATCCTTCAGGGTTTAGGGGCAAGCGTCAGCAACGGTGCACCATTGTCAAGCTCGACAAAGTGGTACGTAGTGAGGGCGGGGTAGCATAACGATCGCGTAGCAAACCCTAAACCCTAAACATCCCTAAACCCTAAACCCTAAACCCTAAACCCTAAGCTTTAAACCCTAAACCCTAAAGCCTGCAGCCGAAACCCTGAACCCTGAGTTTGGCATGCCTCCCCCAACCGTAGACACAGAAGAAGAAGAAGAAGAAGAAGAAGAAGAAGAAGAAGAAGAAGAAGAAGAAGAAGAAGAAGAAGAAGAAGAAGAAGAAGAAGAAGAAGAAGAAGAAGAAGAAGAAGACGAAGAAGAAGAAGAAGCCCATCACGGCTTTCGACTCTGCGAGCCCCCAGGCCTAAACTCCGAATCCCCAAAAAAGCCAAAACCCTAAACCAGCCCCTAAGCCCCTAAACCCCTGAAGCCCCAAACCCCTAAACCCATAAAACCCTAAAACCCCTTGACCCTAAACCCCTACGCCCTGAGAATCCCCAAAA